CGCCGGTAACACTGAGCGGCTGAGGCCTGGCGACTGGGCCGCGCGTGAGGGCGTAGGGTGTAGCAACGCCAGTGCAAAGTTAAAAAAGTGCCATTACATGCTACGGCTACGGGCCAAGCGCAGCAGTTATTTTTTATACATATTTAAATTTCATTCCTTGTCATCGAAGTACAGAATATACAGTGTTAAAACCGTTAAAAGCATCTGTTCATTGTGCCGTTCAATTCTGAACATCACATAGACAACTTATCAAACATTGATTTCAAAATATAAGTTGTTGATTTCAAAAATTAATAATGTAGAAAATACTAATATTGAAGCAAGTTTCTCTATTCAAAAATTGAGTGTCAATTTTGTCTCTCAGCATATTTTTCGTAGAAATTTTGTAAACCACACGAAAAAAGGCACTGTGTGCGTCTAAAAAAATATATAAATAGACATGTAGAAATTTATTAGATGCATAATAAATTGCGAGTTTTCGTACATGGTCGGCTTGCTTACATCGCGCTCTTTCGAGCGAACATGTTATATTTTTAACTCGTACCTATACATTATACTACGTAGGGGTTCAGATTTAATGGTCTTAAAACAATATTTTTTATCACGCTCAAAATATAAAGGACGAACAAGTCGTGTGCCTGGTGTAAAGCGACACGCCTGCCCATAGCAGTTGCATTGCCATTCAGACCATTAAATCGCAAAGATCTCAGGGACACTGCTACTGTGCCTGTCACCTTGAGACATAACTTGGCAAGTCTCATGTACCTGTAATTTCACCAGCACCTTTATTACCCTCAAAACCGAAACATAGTAATGCCCGTTTGCTACTTGGCGGCAGAAATAAGTAAGGTGGCAGTACTTCCCAGGACGAACCCTTCCACAAGGAGCTCTACTGCTGATAAAAATATAAGATACGTGAATTGTTATTCTAGTTAAACATAGCACAATATCTTTTTAATTTAGTTTCGCTTCAAGTAAAACGCTCCAGTATTTCACAGAGCATTGTGTTTTTAGTTGGAACGATTTCCCTTCGTCGTATTCCGGAATTATTGTGTCTTCTTCTCTAACATTTTCATTTTATCGCTGTGCTACAAAACACTTCATTTCACACTTCGTCAAGACCACTCGGCGAGCTACACTGGCGTAACTACTGCCATGACAGCACAACCACAGCTCCACTACCTGTTCTGCTGTTCAATATTATAAAAACCCACATATGTATCAAAATTCATAATTTAAGGTCAACTTTGAAGAGTTGTGATGCGTACGTACGTTAAGTAAGTACGTTCTGTTATGGATTTTTACTGAATTTCACAATGTTTTACCACAATGACATTTATATATTTTTTGTGAAATGATTCCACTAACAACTAACGAACACTGTTTCGACACGACAGGACTTGAACCTGCAACCACGCTATACCGTAGCGTCGCTGTGCCAACTGAGCTACAGGTCCAGCAGGTCGACGAAATTCTTCTATGAGTCTGTAACAGATCTTTTTATTAGGTTTCTTTTCGGCTTTAACATATCGATACTTGAAAGGCATAACGTGTAAAAAAGTCATAACTAGTTTTGTTTGTTTAGTTTCTTAAAAAATACTTTAAATCGCTCTCCTGTCATATTTCCCAAATGCCCATTACACGTGTTACCTTTCCAGTGTCGATATAATACCTTTTATTATATCGAGTTTCGTGTTTGTGACGCGATAAATGATAATCTCAGTACAGAGTACTAACAAAACCGACCTCAAAAGTACGTGGAATTACATCTATTGGCCAAGTTTTATTGAAATCGGTTACCGGAAAGTGCGCAAACCCGGATTCATCCCCTAGTTCGCCACTATACAGAACTTGATAATAGGTAGGAGATAATAAAAATCGGTTCCCACTACTCAAACTAATAAACGAGAGAGATAAACGCCTTGAATTGGAGAATAGTAAAATCAACCATTAAAATAATTGCTCCTCATAAAAAAATTTAGGCGCTATTTATAAAAATAAATCTTCATGCGCGTACAGCTATCCTTACAGGTGGATGATTTTCTTCAAAATTAAATGGGACCACTATGGTGGTACCCTCTTTCCAACAAAAAAGGAATCATCACAATCGGTTCACAAATACCGGAGTTATCGCGTAACACACATACAAAAAAAACATACAGTCGAGTTGAGAACCTCCTCCTTTTTTTGAAGTCGGTTAAAAATTAACAGACAACCAAAATCCAAAACCAAATCTTGACACTTTAAGTGCATTTCTTTCGTATTTTATCTTTAATAACTTCGGCGTAGTTTTCCCGACGGTTTCCCGTCCACAGTTTTATATCTAGGCCAGCGGTCAGTTATCTCGGCCTTATCTTGTTACAGGCTGATTATAATATTGACAATGCTGTTGAGTTTCAATTTATATGAAGGAGGCTTTTGATTTACTCGCATCGATAATTTCAACTAATTGGTTTACGGTTCTGAGTTTGACTATGTACACCGCGTTGTAATCTTATTATCATATTATATAACAAGGAAGCAATTTTTTTGTCTAATGTGTGTCGATTCGAAGGGTGCGTGTTAGAATGGTAGTAAAATTAACAGTTACTTAAATAGATTTAATTAAAAAAGTAGTTCGTGGTTTATTGTAACTGCACCGATAACAGCGAATAAGTATCGATTTTGCTTATGACTACATAAAAATATTTAAAGCGAGATATTTTGACTTGACGCGACTTGTTCGTCCCGTCACATAATATTATAAAAAAGAAAATCTGGAAAATTAATATGAATAAAATGGCTGAGAAAACTTTACACGTCTAAGGGAGTACTGCTATCTTACCTATTTCTGCCGCCAAGCAGTAATACCAGCTTGGCTGTGTTCCTGTTTTGAAAAGTAAAGGGTGCTGGTGAAATTACAGGCATATGAGACTTGTCAACTTTTGTCTCAGGGTGACTGGTTGAACTAACACTACAACTGTTGAGGCACTACAACTGAAAAGGATAGGCGTGTAGCTTACCATCAGGTGCACGACTTGTTCGTCCCGGTACTTGGTATTATAAAATAAAAAACAGTTTCCCGCTTCTCCTTAGGTGACAGACAGGCCTTAAAGTTTTGCCTCACTTATAGAATTGCATTATTAGGGCGCCTAATACAAACGTCACTACTATTAAACTAAAATATATTAAACCAGATATTGTAAACATACAATATGATGTGTGTATGTGTGTAAAATCCGCAAATTAGATAGATAAATATATAGATAGATAGCACGTTTTTTCAGCACAAATACAAACAGATACAAAACATTTACAATCACTTCACAGAGTATAACATAAAAGCATATAGAACATTCATTATTAATTTTATACACATTTATATAAAACACATACTGCGAGAAAAACAAATACTGTGAGAAAAAGAAACAAATACTATAAGAACTGATAAAATTTTAATGTAACTAAGACTACAGTTTGTGCTGAAAAGGCCCTGACTCAGCATAAATACTACGGAGAGAAGTCAAACAGTGCTGGTTTTCTGCCAGTACCAGTGAGCGATCGCAGCCCAGTAAGTCATGCCACCAAAGTACATCACACGCAAATATATATACCTAACTCTTAATATTGATATGTAACTAAATAAAAAAACTTGATACACACACACAAACAAAAACAAGTACTTTGTACTTGTGTATCACGTAAAGTACAAAGTAAAAGTGTAAAATGTAAAGCAAATAAATAGTGTAAGTAATGAAGGTAAGCAATATAAACAATAATGTAAGTTTACAAACACAAAATTAAATTATAACAATAGCCACCAAATATGCTATATAAAATATATAGGTATGGAAATTCAGATTTACAATTACGACCAGCATAAAGATAAACTGTTTTGTTACAATAAATTTTTTATCTGTAAAAATCTCATTATTGCACAATAATAACATCAAATTCGATTTTATTATTATATTCAAATTTCACATCTTTGAAAAACAAAACAATTTGATTCGACCTCAATTCTTATATCAGTCGAGATGAAGTTTTATTTCGAAATGAAATCAAATCAAAAAGAAAATAATCTTTATTTCATAGGTAAGCATTATTACACTTGAAATCGTCACATTGGTTAAACTCTATCGCTCATTCGTAAGGCAGATTCCCCTGAGAAGAATGAGCAAGAAATTCTAGGCGTTGCTCTTTGTAAATAACATTTGTACATCAGAGATCAAGACTACCTCCATGAGCTAAACGGGTTACTACCACGGATTTTTGTCATCCAAGTACGCAGAAGTTGTATAATAACCTTTAGTATAAAATGTTTGTTTCACTATAGTTTTAAACCTCGTGAATGACAAATTTTGTATATCAACCGGAATCTTGTTATAGAAGAGTGTACATTGCCCTTTAAATGAATTTGTCACTTTATGACGACGACTATCAAGAACAGCTAGTTTATTATTATTCCTCGTATCAATGTTATGTCTGTCACCATTTTTCATATAGAGATTACTATTCCTCTTAACACAAATTACATTTTCATAGGTGTACTGCGACGCTAGTGTAACAACATTAATTCCTTAAACTTTTTCTCTCAAAGATATTCTAATGTCAATCAATCTAGTGTTTTGACAATGTCAACAGCAAACAAATTCACACGTTACTTGATGTCGAACGACATGATAGTTGGGTCCGACTCTAGTTTGTCTATGAATTAAATAAAAACTACGGTTGTGTGACATGCGTGAGAAAAGCTTTTATTTGCCGTAATCATAACTTGCGGTTCCTGAATACATCCTAAATAGCTTATAATATGTGTATAGATAAGGCTGTGTATGTAACTGTACATAATTGGGCATTAAAATACTCGTGTGATGTTTTTATGAAATGAGCAGACGGGAGAGAGAACCCACTCGTATAAGTCATATCCTAACATAGTTAATAAATATAAAATTTTTCTTATCCGCTGATTTATTTTTAGTAACACTAACAAAACGCATTACATACTTAGTTACACTTACTTTTAACTATTGCGAAGGAAGAACAAGCGGCCTCGAAGATTGGAACTCACACTTCACTAATACCACGCGAGAAATATCTGAAACAAAGAAAATATTGTTACAATGGCTTTCTGAATTTTTAATCAAACACAAAGACTACCTGGTCAAAAATTTGTTGCTCAATTAAGACTCGTTTCGATCCTGCAGTCAAACCGTATATACAGATTTGAAGGACTATGTTTAGTTAAGCATATTGTACCCCTTTTTAAATTCTAAAAATTAAAAATAGTGTTGGAAAGTTTAATAATTAGAAAATAAACTGCACTATGAGGAAAGTCAACGAACTTGAGATCTGTTGTAGATGTGCTGTCGCGAATTCCTAATAGTTGATCGAAGGGTATACAGTGCAATACAACACAATGCAATACAATGCAATACAATACAATACAATATAATACAATGCAATGCAGTGCAATGCAGTACAGTACAGTACAGTATAGTACAATACATACAAAAATTCTTTGTTGTACACCAAAACGGAAACAAATACGAAACAATTAAATAAAAAAATAAGTGTTAACAAATATTTTTTTAATACAGTTGCTCAGAACGTGGTGCTTTTCGAACTACAAATCGTGCCGAAAGTTGGATTTTTCGCACTA